CCTAGATACCTCTTCTAAATTTCACAACAGTTCCGTTCATGTGACTTCTTTGTTAAATACTGTATATATATATATATATCTGTGTCAGTGTAAATTACTTGTACCTGATGATGACAAAACCTTGTCGAAACGTTGTACATTTGCTGTTATATTAAAGTTTTTCTTCATTACCCATTCAAGCCGTCTCCAACCATTATAAGTCTCAAAGTGGATTCCTCGTCATCGAATCATCTATCTTTGTATTACTCCGTGACAGCTTAACTTACAATTTTGTCGATGTAAAGCAGATTGGTAGTAGAACTGAGTATCCTAATTTTGGACAGTATCTAGCTATCTATTTAACATCTATCATTCTTCTTATCTTAAACTTCAATTTGTTTAAACTCACATAAATGATTCGAAAGCTGAATTACTTTCGCCTAGAAATTAACAGTTCTTGCCATCTTTCGGTCGAGATTTTCAAGCAAAGCCCTGAAATTAAAGACCGTTGACCAGGCTAATGGTTGCGTTATTCACTTATACAAATAAATAATTTAGCCCAAATAAAATTATTCAAATAACGCTTTCTAAAGTATAAGGCGCCATAAATATGTACCCAAATCTAAGAAGCAGATGGTAAGTGATATTCTTAATGATATTTTAAAAATGACTTACTGAACTACGACAATGAAAATTGTTGACAAAACCGTTTTGCTAAACAACGCATCAAGTGTAACCAGTATCAGAGAGGAGGTGAAACGATGTTCTATTTTTTGTTTTAAACTAACCCTGACTTTCCTCCTACAGCATACATTTAGAAGCAAGACTCAAGAGAATTATGACGCCGTGTTTATCAATAAGACATTAAATGAAGTAGTAATATTTTTCGTTGGCATGAAGATGATCTATATATATGTATATAGTAACAACACTGACTCAGAAAGTGATAATGTTTGGAAATACATGTTATTTTGAATATGAATTAAAAATATAATTAACGGAATGATTTGTTGGGGGCCGTTTAACAAGCCTTTAATTGTGACGTACGGGATATCGTTGGACACCTCCGCCCTTTTGGGTGTACCTTTCTGTATACTCCTATGGTATGATTGCATAAGTTTCATAAATTCACATACTAATTTTCTAAAGATGTAAGTTGATATGATGTGCAGTGAAATTTAACTGTTTCATATTCTTTATGCTCCAATTACGACAAATTACTTCCTATTGGCTGTCCCAGCTTTCCTGTGGTGAGTATAACTTTGTTCAAACAATAATAGTCACTAGCGTAATTCCGCCAGCGGACAGCCGCCTTCCACACTATTAGCTCAATAAAAAGGAAAAACAAGTGACTATTTCAGTTTTAAAGTATCACTTTTTTTTGTTTTAGGATAGGAAAAGCTATTGTAATAAACTCCTTGCTGATGGTTTTTAACGTTATCAAAATGCACTGCGTATGAACTTCATTGTAAATCAGTTATCTCAGAAAGTCAAACAGGTCATGCAAGCGATATTATTGAATAATATCTTCAACATCAACAACAAAAAGAAATGTTAGAGCTAAATGTTACCGAGTTAAAGCTGAACAGCTCGTGAAGATAACCTTAATGTTAGAGCTAAATGTTACTGAGTTAAAGCTGAACAGCTCATGCAGAAAACCTTGATGTTAGAGCTAAATGTTACCGAGTTAAAGCTGAACAGTTCGTGTAGATAACCTTAATGTTAGAGCTAAATGTTACCGAGTTAAAGGTGAACAGCTCATGCAGATAACCTTAATGTTAGAGCTAAATGTTACTGAGTTAAAGGTGAACAGCTCATGCAGAAAACCTTGATGTTAGAGCTAAATGTTACCGAGTTAAAGCTGAACAGTTCGTGTAGATAACCTTAATGTTAGAGCTAAATGTTACTGAGTTAAAGGTGAACAGCTCATGCAGATAACCTTAAGAACCAAACCTCATACTCCTTGGTCTTACTACGACACCACTGTAGCAGCATCTCCTTGATATCGCTGGCGCTGCGATTCACTCGAGTGGCCTGGAAACTACAGTGGACAGGAAAGAAGGAGAAAAGTATGAGAGAAAGCTAATGAGTGAAGACTATTTCTGGAAAAATGAGCTGCCGAGTAAACTTTATGGTGCTAGTTGCTTTGGAAAGTTAATGCTCTGTATTACCTGAAGTGCATTTATATAACATCAAAGCCAGTGATTGACCATCACATCATAATACGATCCGGTCACTCTGAAGTGAATATCTGTAGGTTACCTAAAATGGTGTTTTTCATGTTATCATTTAATGCCATCTGATGAATACTTTTAATTTTAACGTTAAATGTTAATGTTAAAATCCAGAATTAGATATATGTGTTATAGTATTTAAAGTGGCAATAGCTTTATTTTATATAACGCAAAATGATACCTGCAGAGCAATTGAAAGAAAATCTTCTGTTTTGTTAATTTTTATAGAGCATAAAAACGTTCACATGTCTGTGGAATAGCAAATTTGTGTGTGTGTTTAAACTTTATACTGCTATTTGTACAAAAACACGCTCCAGAAGTCATAAATTTGTTAGTATTATTTTTTATGAATTTCAAAGTATTTTATTTTTATCAACTAAATGCCACGATGCTCTAATTATTAATTATTTTGAGCTAAAAGGCCAACATTCGCAAGCGAATGCAATATGTCTTCCCCCTCCCCCATGAGAATATAGTAGATTGTAAAGGAAGAAATGGGATTAAAGACAGGGAAATCGGTATAAACTACAACGGATATACTTCAAAGGTATGAACTTTCAGCACAGTATCAACTTAAGACTTCTTTGTGTGAAAGATATATTGGACCATACTCAATGACAAAAACATTACAGGTAATTTTTAGATAAATAAGACCTATTTTTTGACACGGTATGCGCAACTTCATGTATTGTGTGAATCAAAACACTGGTAATAATCACCTCCTTGTAACGTTTGCATATGCAGGCAGTGTTTTTAGGTCCAGAGCATTCTGGAATTTTTTTTATCTCTGACTTCTGTAAAATCAAAAGAAAGGCCCAAATCCTAAATATGTCTATTTTAATCTGTGGGGGTTGTCACATGGTACCTTTGTCGAACGTTTCACACAGAGTGGTTGAAATATAGAGGAATAACTGACAAAACCCCTAATTCTGAGAAATATTTTGACCTCTGACCCCTGGTAACATTGCAAGAAAGGTACAGTTGTGCAAGCAAAGTCTTGTGTAGAATGGTGGAAGTACAGATCAATGTCAGGCCTAAAACCTCATTTTTCTTTACCTTTTAGCCCTGTAACATCTCAAAAGAGAACAAATCTCATATGTGTTTGCTTCAGTCTGTGGGAGTTATCATAAGGTAGATTAATGGACATATGAGATAACCGCAGGCCAAAATACATATCTGGCCCGTTAAGTCGGAAAGGCATCCTAAATCAAAACAGTAAAAAGTTGCCCAGGCGTAATTTTTGGAAGTAAAATGTCTCCTTTTTTAGGGGGAGGGCATAATGATAATCATAGAAAGGTATTGTGAATTCAGAATATACTGTAATAATTTTTTATATTTTCAAGTGACCGCAGAAAGAACTACGTAAAGTACAGGTTATCACACTTTATTAAGAAAATATATAGCAAACAGATTTTGATGCTATTTGCGTTAATATTTGCGTTTGGAAGCGCATTATGATGATACTAACAAAAATCCGCAAAACAGTTGCGGTCAAATTAATATCTTTATTACACCAGTACTTATTTAAAATTTCTAGAATAATATGAAAGAATTCCAAACGCAGACACCGAAATGTATAAATTCACTCGTCTTAGATCTAACATTAGTTAAGTCTTTATTAAGTACGGCCTGTACTCGATTAAGAGAAAAATTAACGCTGTAACTTGTATACATTTTTTGCTTTAGTTTAGTTAGGGCTAAACTTTACCGTACTTAATGTTTTCAATAAATAAACTTATAATATTATTTTACGACCTACTTGATATGATTTTAATATTTTTTGTACAAAATGTCTACTAAAGTATATTTATATCCGCCTTTTGTTTACCTCCGTTGAGATGAAGTGCGCGTGCATATTCATTTAAATAGTGACTGAGTATTATTAAAATAGACAAGTAAAGAAAAAACTTTTCAAAAAAGGAAGTAAATGTAGGAATGGCTAATATCAGTCCTTCAAAAACAATGCAAACAAGATAGTGGGGATGACATTTGCATCATCCCTACATAACAGCACAGATACACAGTGTAGTAGAATGTTAGCAGACAAAAATAGGATAAATTAAACTTAACTGCTATTGAATAGTTATATCTATTGCTATATGTTAATTCTTGCCTGTGTTAATATGTAGGTTGACACCACTGTTTTGGTTTTTAAGTTATCATGTAATAAAAAGAAGCAGAAGAAAGAAGAAGAAGAAATCCAACTTTTTGCTATGATATTTACAGACATTCCCAGAACTTGTGACTCAGTCATTATATAGATATTGTTATAGAAGGAAACACTGTATAATATTGTAAAGTTCTGATGACGTATTGAGGAGATATTTAAAATACCATTTCGATAAACAAATCGATCCATCCCTACATAGGTAGTGTTACAGCCTGCCTAATAATTGTAAATTGAGAAACTGAGTATTGTTATGACAGTTCACATTAAATTGACAAACAATTTATAATCATGTTCCCCAAAAATAAAAACACTTCATTACTTGTATCGTTGTTTGTCAATTTACTGTTTGCGTTACTGTTGGGTTTTTTTTTTTTTTTTTTGGCTTTACTTAGTGATAAAACAAACACTTTCAAGTCAAATAAATTATTAATTTTCACATGAAGTATAAGTTTATTGTGTTTTTAAGAAATTTTATGTTAATACATAAAATTTAAATTCAAACCTAGAATTGAAATCTACCCAAAGTCTGAGTATCCGAAAACCAGGAATTTTAGGAGCGTAGTCCTTTAGATAAAGCTCCATAGTGCAACAACTTTATACTACTTTTTCTAATTGTAGTAGAAATCTCATTCTGTTCGGGTAATATTCTTACGATGACAAAAAAAGCTTATAACGAGTTTCTTAATTATATACGTCACTTATTTTGAGATATTCAAAGGTGCATATGTGTGTGTGTGTGAATAGCTTCAAATACTCAAACGTTTAAACCATTACCTGAAATGAGTGTTCACAAGAAACAAAAATGCATTTCTTAATAAGAGTCAGGCGTGGCATAATGTTTAGCGTGCCGGACTGTGAATCTGCAGGTCCATGACTCGAATGCTATTACTCCAAACACGTGCACCATATGAAAATCCATAACACTTATCCTATTACTGCAAACATGTGCACCATATGAAGATCCATAACACTTATCCTATTACTGCAAACATGTGCACCATATGAAGATCCATAAAACTTATCCTATTACTGCAAACATGTGCACCATATGAAGATCCATAAAACTTATCCTATTACTGCAAACATGTGCACCATATGAAGATCCATAACACTTATCCTATTACTGCAAACATGTGCACCATATGAAGATCCATAACACTTATCCTATTACTGCAAACATGTGCACCATATGAAGATCCATAACACTTATCCTATTACTGCAAACATGTGCTCCAAACTTTGGGATGTTTTATTAGAGTGACAAATCCCACTATTCGATTAGAGTAGTCTGAGAGTTGACAACAGATGTTGTTGACTAGTCTATCAGATCAAAATAAGATCAGAGTGGCGCATATAGTAATTGCGTATCTTTTTGCGAATATCCGAAACAAACAAACAATTATACTCTTTTAAAGACACATCAGTTTGTGACAAGATGTTTCCCTGTTACGGAATAAATACAATATACCATTCATTAACGTTAAATCAAACAAATCATTTTCACTATCACTTACCTTGTCAAACACTTATTAAATGGTTTTGTAAAGTTAACAATGTCAATATAAATCGATTATAAAATGTTTTTTAAAATGCTGGGTGTGTTTGAGACCTTAATAGAAAAGGTAAATTGTAGACCTTTAATATAGTAACTATATATACAATGACTTTAAGTTGACAACCAGGACTGACAATGAAATCTCTACCAAAATATTTTAATGCTTATTTTATATTAACTATATATATATATATATATATATACACACATATAATGACTAGTCACTTTATTAAGACCCCCATCAAATACTGGTTACACCACCTTTCACTGTAATTTAAACCTTGAATCGGCATAGCATAAACCTCCTGGAAGGTGTTTTGATCGATTGCAGCACATTCGTCGAGGAGTTTAATCAACTAACTGTTTTACAGACGCCTGCATAAGGTCACGGTGGCAAAGTCAACGTTCAAATTAATCTGTAAAATATTACATGGAATTAAAATCTAGTAATTGCGCTTGCCGAGGAAACTGGTGAAGTTACTGTTGTGGATTTTTTTTCAGACAGTTCACCTTGGTTAATTATTGCGGAAGAGTCCTTTTCCACCAGAATGAACAAGTAGCATTTTAGAATGGGCATCATTACAATAACATTTAGGGAGATTAATGAAATCAAAAACCCAACTGTTGCCACGATAGCCTTCTCCCACCACATTACTCCACCTTCAGTAACTTTTGAGAGAACACAAGCAGGGTCAAATGTCTCTTGTGTTTTCTTTGTATCTGTACTTTAATATCAATAAAGAAAAAAAGTGAAAGAATGAAACACGTTTAATCAGGCCACAATTACTCGCTTCAAGTCATTCAATGACCACAGTTTGTAATCTAGAAACTAATGAAGCTATAGTTTACTATTTGCATCTGATATATGCGGTTTTCTGACTCGATATATGCTGCCGTATAACAGTTTTAAGTGAGGTTGGACATAATCCAAACCAGACTACTGTTAAAGACACCCATGACATATTCTTACGTTTGATCCGCTTTACTAGCCTGACATAGTGAGAGGCGTATTCCCTTTCGATTGCCAATGTTAATAGAATAATATGGCAGATATCTTTGAATAGCCTGTAACAGCACTCTTTGATAACAAGGACCCCGCTAGACGAACAGACTATCGTTTCCTTTTAAAAACGATCAGAAACATTTTTATTCTTGCTTCTTTTCTTGCAGACTAACCGCTTTCGTCTATTCTTGGATATTGGCTTATGTTAACTGTCCTGACTCATCCTTCTATTAAACAGTAGCTTTTCTCAAACTTCAGAAAAGATGGGTTCCCCCAGTGGGTCAGCGGTAAGTTTACGGACTTGCAATGCTAATATTTTGGGTTCAATTTCCCGTTGTGTACACAGTACCGATAGCTTGTTTATTATTTAGCTTTGCTTTAAAATCAAACAAGCTTACAGGAGTTACAAATATAAAATATTAGTAAAATCTATTTTATAGAGAAAAGTTAGAGGAGGTTCAAACTACTATCCTCAAATTAGGACATAAACTAACAATTTGATGATTATATCTCTGTACTTACAAGAATCAAAAAGTCCCTGACACATCACATGAGTAGTCTATTTCGCATATGACAATAAATGGAGTATCCTACAAATGGGTATGTAGTGGAGGGAAGGAGCTATAATAAAATGACCAGTTTCTTACTTTTCAGATTACCAGACTTTTTCTGCAAACTTTTTTTCAGTTTGCTGCTATACCAGAATAATATTCTATACATAAACCTGTAAAACGTTGCTAACCTTGTAGTCTCGGGCACATCTCTGATAAAATTCCAGGATGGTCTGCTTGGTTTAGCAGGAGCTGTGAAGTACCACTGACAGCCGCAAGACAAAAGGACTAAAACGTGCATTGTGAGCAAGCGCAGGAAGAATCAACATTAATATTAGTTTTGTACATAGTTATAAAGTATTTACACATGCCTATTCTGGCTTTAATATAGTTACAACTATGTTATGCTAACTTCAAATTCAATTGAAAATACGCAAAATATTTATTCATAAGTGACGAAAAGCTACAAACATAAAATATTAGTAAAATATGTTTTATATTATTTTCTGTGGCAAGTTATGATATGAAAGTCAAAGCCTGAGCCTCAAGTTACAATAGACTACCAAAAGCTAGCGCTAGTAAAGCTATTAGGTTACGTTATCTATGTTTCTATTAGTTAGCTGCAATAAAATTGAATTAAGAAACGTTTGTAATCGAACAAGTAAAACAGCTTAAACATACAATGGATTCGTAACTATGATCACTTCTATAACAGGTTAAATATAGTTCAATATTGTTATCCGAACTTTCTAGAAAATTTTTCCAGCGCCTATAAAAGGCGACGCGCAAAAAAAGAGAGAGAACATATAAGTCTACTAGAAACCTGTTATAACCGTGTACGCTATAAACTGTGATTTTGCTAACCCTTATCAACCGGAAAATATACGACATTTGACCAGGAACAGTTATAAATTTCGAACGTCAGTGGATTCTCATCGGACGTTAATATATTTCCGAAAGTATTACTGAATTCTCATCGGACATTTGAAGTTTTATGAAAATATTATCTTACTTCGACGGTCCAACAATTCAGTGTCTGATAAAGCTAGCTAGCCTCTCGGCAATTGTACGTACATCGACTTCAAGTTAACTCGCTGGATATCAAGGAGACTCTGGACTAAAAAGAAAATTTTGTGTTGTTTGTAAGTTAGTGAGATTTTTGTTTTATAAAACTTTGCTTGTGGTAACTATTTGTAATAATTGTTGTTGTAAATTGTACTGTTGTATATATATATTAAAACATATTTGTGTGAAAAACGAAGATGGTGTGTGTCAATCTTGTGGGCAAATAGCGTAAATTAACTAAAATATCGGCATAGGACTATTTTAAATTCTGAATGCGTAACAATGGTTTGTTATGTTCATAGCCTTAATCATAATACCTTCATTTTTCAGATCTACGAGAGTTCTTCCGATTATTAATCCCTCAGAACCTGCTGGAGAGCTTGATTCTATTATATCCCAATCACTGGATGTAAATATGCCCTGGTATGAGTATTTCACTTCTTGGTAGTACAATGAATCTCCTCCTTGTTGTCACTGAAAGTTCAACCTCTGGTGTAGTAATTGTCCCAAAGCGCACAGGGATTTTGTGGTCAAAGACTGTGAAGCTATATGAAGTTAGTCTAACTTCGAATCTCTGTTTCAGCATGAAGTCAGTTCCTCGATGTAAATCACCCATCACAAGGCATAGAGAAGTTTTCTACAGTAAGAGTAACATCCAATTTTCTTCTTGCTCGAACTTTATGTTTATTGGCTTTTCACATTTATCTGTATTATTTTTTTCATCCTTCAAGGCAATTTCCCATCTTTCATTACACAGCTGAGTCAAATAATTGTAGCTGTATAACCAGTGTCGACCAACATAGTAAGGCTTCCCATCAATAAACCCACAGACTGGTTTCTTTAAACAATAATCTTCTTATCTCACTTGGGGCACTTGGGATATTACTAGCTGAGGCTCATTCCATATATCAGCAATATCTGCTGTCTGGTTAACCCTTTGTTGTTCTTTTGATTTTGGTTAGGCTCGAAAACCCATCCTCAGGATATTGTATTTTTGGAGTATTAATAGTTCTTGAATACTCACATTCTTGGCTTCAATGGTAATTTTTCCATATTTATAACAATACTTGTTTTCTGAAATCCTTTTAGAGGAGTTTTTATTTCATACAGATTTATGTCTGTAGCTTCTGGCAATATGTTCTCTTGTATTCTGGTTTATTTCCTCCATTCTATGTAACTAATTGTCTAACTAATCCTTTCAGTTCTTCTAGACTAAAATTAAATTGAGTTGAAGTTTCGATACGACTTGATTTAATGATCCTATAACTTCTAGATAGTGTCTTTAGTTCTTTATTTGCGACTTAAATTAATTCAAGTTTCATCTCCAACTGGAAAACATTTTTTAAGTATAATACAAGTATTTTGCTTCCTCTTAATTTGCATATCTTCGTCTTATGGCATCTGTAAATTGGTTGCATACTAACAAATTTATCGTTCATGTGGAGCAACCAGGTAAAATAATTGGGCAAACCTTTCCAATTCTTCCACCATTTCAGTTAAGGTTTCTTCTTTCCTCCATACCCTGCTTTGTAACTTTGCTTTGGGTAATTCCTTCTGATTGCCATTCTGAACCTGTTTGATAAGGCAGCTACTAAAGCTTGATCGTTGTTACAAATCTCAGCTGAAAGGTTGCTTAACTTTGTTGAACCTGGTCCTTTTAAATGGGTAAGAAGATGATTAACTTATTGTTCAGTATTCTACCTGTTCAACTTGGGAATTATTTTCGAACTAAGCCTGATATTCCTCCCTTGGTAACTTTTTATTATAATCCATTATTTTTTTATTGGGCGATGTTGTGGAATTAGCCAGTTAAATTCTTTAAATGGATTATGTGTTGATGTAGCTAAAGTAGTCCGAAAAAGCCCTGCAATCACGGATGACATAGCAATAGAAGTATCAGCTATAGATCAAATAAGTAATCTTATTCCATATTTCATAGCAAATGGTATTTAACGTCGGACTTCATGGGCAGATGCAAGAAGAGGTGTGGGCTAGTTTAGTCTTTGTATTTACCAAATCATTTTTCAAGTATATATTTGTATATATTGTATTATGCATCTTGTAGCAAACAAACATCTAAATTGAAATATCAAAGAGGCTTACAACAAACTTTACAGATTTAGTTGAAATGAAAATAGAACTTGAAGAGGTTGTTCGGCGACTCACATGTTATTAACCAATGCCTGCGCTGCTTTTTTCCCATCATACCTTGTCTCTGTGTTATTGTACTTATTTTGATCTATGTTCCTAGTTATTAAGTCTAGTAATAAACTCTAGTTTGCTTTGAAAAAAAGTTAAGAATAATACAACTGATAATAATGCAATATGAGTAAACAGTGGCAATTATATAAATTTAAGTAATGTTAGTTTAAAACATTTTCCGGGAGTTTGAATAAATTCCGATTATGCCTTTATATTTTTGGCTTGATTTTAAATATACAGTTTAAATCTGAAAATGTTTTCTTCATATTAGATATAATTAGTTACGCCAGCTTATGTAAAGTAGAATTGTGACAAGTTGGAGCAATTATCTGTAATGTGTTTTACAGGTTGGTTTTAATAGATTAGGGTAAAATTATGTTGTAAAACGAGCTATAATACAAATGGAAAGATTAAGCTCTTTACGTTGAATAAAACACGTTTGAACGGATTAGGGTGAGATTATGTTGTACTTCTGCATCATTAAAATAGAGTTGAAAGGATTGTGATAAGATTAAGTTGTAATTCGTTAAAATAGGTTTGATCAAGTTAAGGTGTGAAAAAGTTAGGACAGATTTAGTCCAATGAAAGTCATACATATTTGTTACACCGTTTAAAAAGTGTGTAATACGGATTATATTGAAATGTTTCCTGGTTAAAGTATGTTTGAATAGGTCATACTGGAAGTAAGTTGTAACTTCAGTTAAAATGTATTTAGGTTAGGTTGAATTAGCTGATTTTACAGAATTAGACTGTGCAGGTTTAGGCTTATTCTTGAACAGGTTAGACAGACTTAACTTCTTATTAATGTAAAATATATATGCTTACGATTAACACGGGTGCGTTGAATTTATAGCTTATTTTTAAAGAAATTTACTCAATATCTATTGTTTTAACAAGTTAAAGCTTTCCTGTTACATTTTTCGGAAGTGTGTATTCAATTGTAAGTAATTTACTCTAATATATTAAAGAAAATTTGACTTACTTTGGAGTTTTGTTTCCTTGCTGGCTTGTGTTGACTGCGTCCATCTGTTGAAACTTGGATCGAGCTGATACCTTATTCTGGTTTACTAAAATGAAAAGAACACTAAGCTGAGTACATAAAAGAGGCTTTAGATGGTGGTTAAAGATTCATTTTGGACAGTATAAATCAAGTGCATCCACCTGAAGTAGTTTGGACATGACATGATGGTGTAATAAGCTTCATCCACCTGGGGCAGTTTGAGAGGACATGAGGATGTAACAAACTTCATCCATCTGAGGTAACTTGAAGAAGACGTGATGATGTAACAAACTTCATCCATCTGAGGTAACTTGAAGAAGACGTGATGATGTAACAAACTTCATCCATCTGAGGTAACTTGAAGAAGACGTGATGATGTAACAAACTTCATTCACCCGCTAGCAGTTCGAAATGTGTGCAAACTACGGCAGGTACATGATGCTCGTTTTACTTATCCAAAATGAAACAAATACTTGTTTTTAGTTGTTTTACTTTTTTACAATTTTTACCTTACACTGTTTATGATAAACAAAACTTCAATAATTACCTCTTTCACCCTGAATTTTGCTTAAAATTTTTAAAAGATGTGAAAGATTTTTCTTTATAACAAGAATTCATAAAATATATTGAAAAAATAGCAGGTTCAAAAAGATATACTTACTCTCAGTCTTTTTCACAGCTTGTGATGTTCCTGATTTTGCTGCCGTGTCAAAACCTGCTAGAATTTTTCTTTTTCTTTCATCTGCTTCTTTTTGTCGCTCACGAATTGATTCTTCCACCAGATCACGCTGCGGCTGTACCATGGCAGCATTATCATCCGAACAAGGCTTACCTATACAAAGAAAATAAGTAGCCAAGCTGTTTATGATAAAAAATATGTTTTTTTATTTATTTCATAAAATGTTTCCACTTTACCCTCCTTTTAAATTACAATATTATTATGTTTTATATAACCGACTTAACCGACAAAAAATAATTTTTGTTGTTACAGCTTCCAAGAAAAACTATCTTTTATAAATTTTGGTATGTTTAGTTTCTCCTCAAAGAAAGTGTGACACTATATAACCTCCAAGATGTTTGAAAAACACGTAGGTTCAAGAAGTTTTGACAGAAATTAATAAAAACCCGATAACTCGAGCGCTTTCGAAAAGTGGTCCTTTCTTTTTCAGGGGCAAACTATATAACCTGTCATCTTCCACAAGACAGCATCCCTGCAAATATATTCTCTAGCCAATTCTCATATTCCTTAAACATTTTGTTTCTCCTTTTTATGTCTTATATAAACCTAAATTAGCTGTTACCAAGATTATGACTTACCTTCCTTGTATATGTTGATATCCATAGCTTTAGGTCCGCCCGCGGGAGCTGACTTAGCCATACTATCATACATAGCTAGTGTTCGCTTTTTCTTCTCTTCTGCTTCCTGTTGACGTTGTTTGATGGCATCTTCACGTTCTTGTTCTCTCTTTTTCATCATTTCTTCTCGCTTTGCTACAGAAGCGAACATGCATGTAATAAAACTCAATAGAATTATGTCATATTTCCAAATTAATACGCTATAAAAAATCGGCAGTTTGCATAGAATTCTCTTCACTTACCTAAATGATATAAATAATCATATATACATTTTCATTTGATTTTTAAGCTGTTATTTTGTGAGAAAAATATGGTCATATGAAAAGGTTGAGTGAAAAAGAATAATAATATTAATATTTGATTCGTTAGTGGAGTTCTTGGTTCACGTGACGTGTCATCAGTTTGGACAGGACTTGTTCCTCACGTTTGTTTGTATTCTGAAGCATAAAATTACACAATGGGATATTTTTACTGTGCCCACCTCAGGGTTCAAACCCCGAATTTAGCGTTATAAGCCTTTAAAGTTATTGCTGAGTCACTGGGAGAAGGTCTGTGCCGGAAAAAAACAAACTAAAACATTTCACATAGACACTTTACTAGTTAAATTACACATTTCCATGTGTTATTTTCTTCGGGGAGGAGTGGGGGAGTGACTGGCATTGAGCCGTGGTTTTTTTTTTATAACGTGCCGTTAAATTCCACTAGTAGTTGATAAATAATAGCCCAAGAGTTAGCGGTGGGTGGTATTAAGAAGCTGTCTTCCTCTAGGCTGTCACTTCCATATTAGGGCTCTCCCTGTACTCTATTACTTCCGTATTTAGGTCCTCCCTGTAGTTTATAGTACAGAGCGAGACATTTTACATTTACTTAAAAAGAAACCGAATCTTCAGGTTATAAACTAGAAACTAAATCTATTGTTACCTATTCTTTTAAACACTTAAGTGGTTTTTTCCAATTGTTGGCGTGAATAGAATTAAAAAAAGACACAGAAATAAAAAAATGTTTCGAATAAAGGATGATAAACTTTAATTAGCAAAACTGGCACTTAAATAGAAAGGAGAATTTCGTGTAAGAGATAATATAAGTTTTGGTGGGTATGCATGAATGATCTTAATACGTATCCAAAAGATTGTTCAGAAAATAATATATTTATTAAGTAGTAAATAAACACACAAAATGGTTTTGTTGTTGTTTTTAAGATCAAGGTTTGCAGAAAACACAATTCGACTGACACATTTATTGTTCTTTTGAAATCTTACAAAGTTTTAATATACATAGTTCCACCCTAATGATAGCAACACGTGAGAAATTATTCAACGTTTAAATCTACCTTAAGATGGTGAGCCTTAATTTAATACGATTTGAGAACTTATCTACAGCAGTTTGTTTGCTGGAGAAAGCGTTTTTAATTGAACACACGGACAAAGAAACTTCTACGTCACTTCTAGAAGGTGTATATAAAAAGATATGTTTAGTTTATAATACAAACCATCACGCGATGCACTACTAACCTCTAGAGACTGCTTGAACCTCTCGAAGTCTCGCCCTCACTAATTTCCTCTGATCAACGTCTTCTGTGTTATCCATCTGAGGAAACAGCAAACGATGCGAACTGAAACATCGTAACGGCTCAGACAGAATCATAAAAAAGTTCATCTGTCATCACACATATATCAATTCAATAAAATAACAAATAATATTAATATAAATTCCACATTTTGGTTTATAAAGTTTCTATTTAAATTTATCAACGTTTCAGCTTATACTCCTAAAATTCCGTTTATATTTTTGAATGTTTCAAAGCTTCGGCTTTGTTTAGAACATTTTGGTTTATATATCTAAAGTTTTTACCTTTCGTTTTGTCATTGTTTCGTTTTATATTTGTTTATCAGTTCGTCATTTAAGAAACGCACTATAAGAGCAATTGGGTTCTAATCAGTTTCATATTTCTGTTTTTTAATTGTGAGACTGTTTTCTTAGATAAATTAGAATTCTTTGTGTAAATCCTGCTAAATAACTTCAAAAATGGTACTGAAAAGATCCGACCTATATGTATCATCGAAACTACTCGAAAATTTGAAGAATAGACTAGAAGAGGCATTTAAATACGCAGACTTGGAATTAAAACAAGCATGTTTCTATTATTATAGTTAAACTATCAATATTCATGAAACACTTTGTTTGGTTTTACTCACCACTTCTCACTCACTAACCTAAAATAAGTTAGATGTTTTGATAACATGTGATATACCGTCACAATTAATTATTCATTATTATTCAGCGGACTAACTATTTAGTTGTTAAATTTCTTTTCTTGACCAAAACGTGTATTTTTTTCACTAAAATTCAAGTTTTTGCAAGGAAAAGAAATTCACAATATTTATCAAGAGTAGTAGGCATTCTGCACAGAACTTGATATCCTAAAACTGAAATTTCACATGGCAATAGTTGTCGCTTTTTACTTAAAATTATTCAGTAATTATAATACTAAACCTCCAGTTCATCAAAATTTGCGCTTTTTATCTTCTAATGCCTAATATCACAAAACTAGAATAAAATATTAAGCTAATAATAATAACTTCCGATCAGAGTAAGCTATGTATTAAGAGCAAAACTAAAAATCAACCTAGCCATCAGTATAACTAATTAAGTATATTTTCTCACGTTTCTACTTATATATATTAGAATGCATTGTTTCGTCAGTTGGGTGCCTTTGTAGTTAACGATATTTTCCACCGTGATTCCCAATTAATTGAATTTTACACCGAACTTAAATTGTTTCGTTCTTACATCAAACGACTATTAACGTTTCACACCATCCTTCGTCATCATTGGTGATAAGTGCCAGTTTGCACTACAGCGTCTCTTGACACATATTTTCAGCTGATAATCAACTACGCAGTTAGCTACAATCTAACTTACCAGCTGATACAAGAAAGCTTCGTCGTCTACAGAAGCCAGGTCAACTCCATTAACGACTCGTGAATCGTCTCCCATCTTGGAGGTTGGTTGAGACTCTTCTGTAATCTAGGAACAAAAAACAACTTTGAAATTAAAATTACTTATGCGACAGCATATGCCCTTCTTATGTAATGAACATTCTATACTTTCCCAGCAATCGACTCATTCACTTACCACACATATTAGGTATTGCGAGCTCTCTGTTTAAAGGTAGGTTTATTTACAAAGGGATTCTATGATTTTATGTTCACGGAGTTATTAAGTGTTTGAGACTAAATAGAAAAATAAATTGCACAAAACGGCTGAAAGGCCACCAAGGTCTTCATACTAAAAATATATAAATAAATAAAAATCAAACCACCAGAAAATGACGTCAAAGTAATGTGTTGTGTTGACAAAAATATTTTATATAATGAGATTTCAAAATAACTTAGGTCTGTGTTTACTTTCATTCATTTATTGAATTTCAAGTTGTTACGAATTTTATTAAATATTACTGACGTGTATTATCAACTTAGCGTATGTGTTGACTTACAAGTTAATCTCAATAAAACATTATAACATCACTAAAAATAGTTTACATTCGCAGCTGAGTCGTCATTTCGGTGATTTTAAGTAATCACGTGATAAAAAGTAATTCAACGTATGTGCATGTGTATGGTATGTAATTTTTAAAGACGGTCTTCCTGAAAAGAGTTAAATTTGGTAGTCCCGAAACATTATCCAGACTTATTCCTTTCCAAGCAGCTGTTCGCTAAACAGTACACATAAAGGGACACGCCCTCCATATTCACTCCGATTCAAGCAGAGTCTCCGCTCAAGAGTACAAGTCCTGGATTAAGTTTTGCCTATAAAATTTATTAAATAAATACATATATTTTGTGAATATCTTTTTCAGTTCTGGTCCTGATTATCTAACTCTCCTATGATTAATTATGTTGGTAGATAAGAACCTCTTTGGATTACTTAGGTGCGTAGTTCTGACTGTCTAGCCATTTGACTTGGAACGATAGTTATTTACATTTGAAAATCTGATTTTCTTGGGATTAGATGTATGTGTTGATCTGACCTTCTTGTTACTAGTTCTGTGTGCAGATTCGACTCTCCTAGGACTAGTTATATGAATAGATCTGACTTTGCAGGAATTAGTTGGATATGTAGATTGGACTCCCCTGAGACCAATTGTTTTTGTACATCTAACACTCCTGGGACAAGTATGTGTATAAATCTGACTCTCATGATATTAAAAGTGGGTGTAGTACTGACTCGTTTGGGACTAGTTGTGTGTGTAGATTTAGCTCACCAGAAAATCGTTATGGGTATGGATTTGACTAACCTGAATATATAATATATGTGCGTTTTTTTGTGATTAGCCGGATTTGTGTAGATTTTATTCTCTTGGAACTAACTGTGTGTATAGATTTTACTCTTCTAGAACTAGTTGTATGTATAGATTTGGCTCACCGGGAAATAGATAAGTGTAGATTTGACTCACCTGGGATTGGTAGTGTGTGTAGATTTCACTATTGAGTGTGTGTGCAAATTTCTTTTATTGTGAATAGCTGTGTGTGTAGATTTGACTCTCCTGGGACTAGTTGCGTATGTAGATCTGACTCCCCTGATATTGAGTGTATAGACTTGACTCCCCTTTGTACAAGTTATGTGTGTGTGGCTCTGACTTTTCCGAGACTATTTCTGTGTATAAATTTGACTCTTCCGAGACCAATTATAAGTGTACATCTGACTCTCCTAGAATTAATTAGATGTGGAGATTTAACTCTCTTGGTTTAGTTACAACTGTGTGTGTAGATCTAACCCACATGAGACAAGTCATATTTTAGATTTGACTCTTTTTGAGACTAGTTGTATGTGTATCTTTGGCAGCCCTGGGACTAGTATGTGTGTAGACCTGACTCGTCTAGAAATTCAATGTGTAGATATGACTCACCTGAGACGATGTTTATGTCAAAATTGTGTTTTGTGTGATTAGCAAGTGTGTCTATATTTGGCTCACCTGGGACAAGCATGTGCGTAAACTTGATTCTCCACACACTAGTTATTTGTCTGGATTTGGCTGGTAATGTGTAGATTTGACTTTTCTGAGACTAACTGTTTGTATAGATCTAATTCTTCTGAAACTAATTATGAGTGTGGATTTCGACATTTCTGGACTTGTATGTATGTATATATATTTAACACTGCTGGGACCTTTATCTATATACACTAGACCATTCTGTGACTAATAAAAGGTGTATTTTACACATCTGGTACTATTTTTGTGAAAACTGGACTTACTGTGATTAGCTATTTGTAGATTTTATTCTCTTGGGATTACTATGTACCTCGAGTACACTCTCCTGAGACTAATTGTGTGTAGCTCTGACTCTTCTAGAATTATTTGTTTGTCTAGATTTTACTCACCTGAGACTGGTTATGTGTACGTCAGGTTTTCATGAGACTAAATGCGACTAGTTGTTTGTGTGTATTTGATCCTTTTAGGACTATGTCTTTATGTAGATTTGACTCAATTGGGACTAGTCATTTATTTAGATTAAACGAGACTAGTTGTTTGTGTACATCTGACATTTCTAGGTGTAGTATCTGTGTAGGTCTGACTCACCTAGGACTGATCATGTGTGTATGTGTGCCTCTTCTAAGTTGCGCGTGTGTGTATGTGTGCCTCTTCTAAGTTGAGCGGGTGTGTGTGTGTAGATTTGACCATCCTAGGACTTGCATGTATGTATATTTGAACCTTCACTCCCCTGGGATTATCTAAATAAATTTGGTTTCTTGTTATTAGTTGTTGAGTGTGTGTGTGTGTGTGTGGATTTGACATTCCTGGGATTAGTTGTTTATCTAGATTTGATTCACCTGGTATACGAGTTAGGTATATATGACTCTCCTAAGAGTATTTGTGTCTCATTTTGATTTCTTCTGATTAGCTGTGCATGTAGATTTTACTCTTCTTAGAGTTGTAATTGTGTAGATTTTACTCTCATTTGTAGAGTTGACTCATCTAAAACTAGTTATGTGTGAGGATTTGACCCTCCTGAAGCTAGTTGTGTGTGTGTGTAAGTTTAGCTGTCTTGAGATTAGCTGTTTGTGTGTAGATTTGACTCTTTTGTGGCTACTTATGCGTGTATATCTGATTCTTCTAGAAGTTGTGCGTATAGATTTATTTCCAGATCGCTATGAAACCAATGTTATGGAGGTTTTTGTTATAGATATATTATTGTGTGTTATGATATATTGTTATACTTAAGTACTGGAACATGCTTCCGGTGTGAACAGTCGGCTGCCTCAAGCATATTACAAATGTAGTGAAGAAACAGTGGCAGTTGATGTTCAAGGAGTCTTCGGATTTTAGAAAATGATTGGTTGCCTAGTTGATTAATCGCAGAGAAAGAAACTACGATTACTGGAGAGAACAGAAAGGTGTTTATACTGTGTATTCGACTGGTCCACGAGGCAGAAGTGGTTAGAAAATCGTCCCGAACGATTTAAACTGTTATATTATAGAAGATATGCTTACGATATTTTTGTTGTTTTTAAAAATAAACTTGATATTCAGGAATTCCAAAATTACTTGAACAGTCAACACAACAATATTAAATTTACAATGGACTGGCAGACTGTTAATACTTTACCTTTTTTCAGATACCAAGATAGTTAACTTAGGTAGAAATTTTGAGACTAAGTGTTATTATAAACCAATGTTTACTGGGCAATATTTTTATTTTGATAGTTTTTTACCTTTTGAATTTAAGATGAACATACTTTATAATTTAATTCATTGGGCTTATAGCATAGTTAGTCCTTTTTTTTCCAGATTCCATGAAGAAGTACAAAACAAAGGTTGTTTTACAAAAAAAAAAAAAAATAGTTTTCCTGTACAGTTGATTGATAGTATTATTAATAAGTATTTAAAAGCTTTCTATATTCCTAATATATATATATAAACATTTTAAAACTGTACTCTACCCTTCATTGGTGAACATTCAACAAAATTACAGAGAAAAATTAAAGCGATTTTGAATAACAAAACTTATCCGCAAATCAAGTTTAGTATAAGTAATTATTTTAAATGTAAAGACAGGATCCCTAAATGTTGTACGGGAAGATAAAAGAAAATATTCAGTTTTAAGAAACTGAGAGCAGTCGAGTTTCACTGTGAAAGGCTTATTCATATTTCATTTTCAAACTGGAACAAAACAGGAAAATTCAAAATCGCGACTTTCTTATTTACTTATCATCGCTTGGGCTGTTTTTGAATCTTTTGAATACACACACACACGCGCATATATATATGTATATTATGTCGTCAGGGCTGTTCTGTTTATGAGTTTTTACGGTTCCGTAGATATATCCAGGCGCATAGTCTCCTATGATAGGTTGGAGAACCTTTTCTTTTGCTTGTTTGTTGACAGTGGCGATCAATTTATTAACGTCTGTTTTTAGTGTTTTTGTCGGGTCAGCTCTAATCCTCTTAAACTTTTTATTGTCCGATAGAATGGCGTCCAATTTTGTTTTATATTCCTGTTTGTCCATGATCACTAAAATATTAGCTTTGTCCGCACGTCGCACAATGTACAAATACTTTCCTGTTTCATAGTATGCATATAGTTACAGTGCAAACTATATATATATATATAT